AAAGGAGGGAGGAATAGAAAGAGACACTGAAAGAGGAAGAAAGAGACTGCTGGGGTTCATCTGTTTATTTCGTGGTGTTTATCATCTCCTGTTCAATTACAGATCCAGAGATTAAGAGTGACAGATGATCAGAATAACACGCGCCTCCAATCCAAATATTACAAGTAGTTATATGCATATGTGTGGCTTCTGCTCATACATGAACCTGGGCTTGTGTATGAATTATCCATTCCTCTCTCTCTCTTGCATGTATCTGATGCTGCTGGGGTTCCTCTGTCAGTTCCTGATGATGTAAATCTTTCATGACTTGTCTCTCATTTTCACTTCCTCCCTCACGCTCATCCTGTTCTTTTCCTTTCATCCGCCGTTTCTCGTGTCCTTTCTTTTCTACCAGCTCTCCTCTGCTCTTCATTTGCCCTGGCACATCGTCTTCCTCCCTGAAACTTCATCACTCACTTTGTGCTTTGCCTTTGTTCGTGTTTGTAAAGTTTTCAGAAAAAAATGGGTGGGAGAAGAAGCGAGAGGAATATCACAAATGAGGTTTCTTTAATATCTCAGTTGTTCCTCCTGTGCATTAAAGAGAGCAAACTTTTGCTTAAATTTTTCACACTATTTTGTTGCCCGAGACAAAATTTGCAGGTTTTGTCATTTCAGCAAAATCTGTTGTCTTGGATCGCATAATTAGCTGATAAATTGCCTTTGCGATGAATCTTAGCTGGCAGTGTCACAGATTTTGGTTCACATTCCTCCTGCGACACCTGTCTAATGAATAACCAGTTGGAGCACAGAAATTGATAGTGTGTGTGTAATCACAAACACAATGTGCCCATTTTTGTATGCACAGAATACCTGAATGATTTGACAAAAATGTGCAGTGTAAAACAGCAAACTGCTGGGAATAGTGTATCCTATAATTCAGAAAACCAATTTCTATATACACTGAAAAAAATGGTGTAGAACAATTTCCCCTTAGAAAATTGCTAATCAATTTTACAAACAATTACAAAGAAACAGCAAGTAACACACTGAATTAAACATGAAATTTTGAAGTAGAAATACTGAAATAGTATTTTTACAATGGTACTCTAATAATCTTTGTCCAACAATCTTTGAACGTAAAAATAAATAAATTACAGTGTTGCTTTTATTAGTTTTTTTAATTTTTTTAGTTACTTAAGTACATCAAGTTAAACTAAATGAAAACGTGCAATGTTTTCTTGGCAATTAGCCTATGTAAAATAAAAAGTTTCCTTAACTATTTTATTTCAGTTAAGGGTTTTTTTTTTGGGGTGGGGGGTGTTACTTTCAGTTAAGTATAATAACCCTGCCTCAGATGTGCTAAAAGAATCATTAAGGTACCAGAATCGTTAATTGCAATCAGAATCAAAACCGGAATCATTAAATTCCCTTCCTAATTACTGTCCTTGAGCAAGAGACTTGTGTTAGTCTAGAGGACAAGAGTAGAAAACTCACATTGTTTCAAGGATGTGTGCTAACACTATGCCAGAGCTCACTGTTAAAATATTTTTATACAAAACTAGATTAAGAATTCATGTAATGAAGTCATGTGACAACAATGTAGCACAGTCTGTTTAGTTTGGAATGTTTATCATTTCATAATGTGTACTGTTTCACTTGCTATTTCTTCAGTTTTGGCAGTGTCAGGCATTTCGGGTCACATTCTGGCAGTGTGACTGCTCCTACGACACCAGTCTAATGTAAAACCAATTAAAGCACAGCAGTTGCTGAGTTTGTCATGTGAGACAGAAAGCAACAGGCCTAGTGAGAGGAAGAGACGTTCACTTAAATGTTAATACTACCTTGCGGTATGACAGGCTGATGGGCTGATGATATAGTTGCCTTCAGAACAATGGTTCTCTCTCATGTTATACTGTATATATGTACACACTACCTGCTGTCAGCATTTTTTTATTAATAGTTTTAATCAGAAAGAATGCATTAAATTGATCAAAAGGGATGGTAAAGACTATATTTTTACAAAAAAAAAAACTATTTCAAATAAATGCTGTTCTTTTAAATGTTCTATTAATTAAATAATCCTGGGGGGAAATGCATCATGGTTTCCACAGAAATATTAAGCAGCACAACTGTTTTCAACATTGACAATAAATATAATGTTTCATGAGCACCACAGCATATTAGAATGATTTCTGAAGGATCATGTGAGACTGAATACTGGAGTAATGGCTGCTGAAAACTCAGCTTTGCATCACACAAATAAATTACATTTTAAAACTAAATGAGTAAAGTTTGCGTGCAAACTTCTAAGTTGGCTTAATAAAAAGCCTTGACTGAAAGTTTGAAGCAGTTGTAAAAGCTTGAAGTTTGAAAGTTTAGTTAGATGTTTATGTTGCTAGCATGATTTAGCATATTGCTAACATGATTTAACATGTTGCTAAGTTTGATTAGCATGTTGCAAGCATGTTTTAGAATCAGAATCAGAAAGAGCTTTTATTGCCAAGTATGTTTGCACATACAAGTAATTTGTTATAGTGTCACAAGCTTCCAGTACACGGAGACAACAACAACACACAGATAATAAAAATAAGATGTGAATAAAATACACATGCATAAATATAAACCACAAAAAAAGAATAAATTTGGCAGAAAACTGGTGTTCTAGCTTTTTAGTGTAGTTCCTCTTGGCCACTCTAATCTCCTTATTCAGTGTGTTTCTGGCCTGATTGTACAAGACTCTGTCCCCCTTTTTGTAGGCGTCCTCTTTGGCCTTTACTTGCTGTAAACCATGGCTTATCATTCATTGTTGAATGTTAAATGAGTCCTGGTAGGGATGCACATGTCTTCACAGAAACTGATATATGATGTTACAGATTCCGTGAGCTCGCCAGATCGTTGGTGGCAGCTTCAAAAACACTCCAATCAGTGCAGTCGAAACAGGCTTGTAATGCCTCCGGTAGAAGATTGTGTGGTGTGTTCTGCCGAATGTTCAGCAGCTCATCCCTGGTAAAACTGATCGTGTTTGAGAAACAAAAAACAGGAAAAACTAACAAAAACAGTACAAACACTGGAGAGCCAAACACTGAGGCTGCCGTCTGCGGCGCCATCGCATAGCATTGGTACAAAGGTGTACCAAAGGTGTACCTAGCATGACATTAGCATGTTGTTAGCAAGTTTCTAACATGATTAGCATGTTGCTAGTATGTTTCCGTATTATTAACATGTTGATAGCATGTTGCTAACATGTTTCTGTCATGATTAGCATTTGCTAGCATGTTTTAGCATGATTCTAACATGTTTGTAACATGATTAGCATGTTGCTAGCATATGACTTTTGCACTGATTTTCAAAGCAAATTTTTTGTGAGTTTTGTAGTCGACAGATTTCACAGAAAATCACAGTGTACTAAAAGGTACAAAAGCTGTCACTGGAGTGGTACCCTTTCAAACGGTACACATTTGTGCCTTATTTACCCCTAAAGAGTACATATAAGTACCTTAAAGGTACATATTAGTCCCTAAATTTTTCATTTTTGTACCCAAATGGTACATATTAGCACCTTTTGAAAAAGTACTGCCACAGCCACAGCTTTTGTACCTTTTTTTCTGAGCATGTATGATAGGGTGACCATACGTGCCATTTTCCCAGGACACGTTCTGGCCAGGATTTCTATATTTCCTAAAATATCTAGGTTTTGGCTTTGTTTGCGTGTGCAGACCGATCGGTGTATGACATCAAAGTACCATACAGACGGTTATGCTTTCGAAACGCTCTCGAGTTACTTTGATGTCAAACACTGATCGGTCTGAGCCGTGCTGTTTTTAAGTCGAACACACCTAATATGTATGCGTAATTGCATCGCTTTGACCGTAGATCCCACCTTCTCACACGCCATGATTGGTCCATTATGTACAATGCTTGCATGTTATTGGTCAAACTACTTTTCGATCATTACCTTCAGCAAGCATGAAAACAGGAAAACAAAGCCAAAACAAATCCTGGCCAGGACGCGTCCTGGGAAAATGGCACGTATGGTCACCCTATCTAATATATTAGCATGTTGCTAGCATGTTTTTAGCATGATTAGCATGTTGTTAGCAGGATTAGCACATTGTCACCATGTTTTAGCATGTTGCTAGCATAAATTAGCATGTTATCCTAGGACAGTCATTAAGCTTTGCTATAGCAATAGACAGCTGAAACACTCTATCTGTACAAGTCTGTACAAAAGTTTCGACCCCCTCAATGAAAGGCTATGGAATTTTTTGGTGGTTTGGTCTGGTTTTCGAAAACTGTAAGCCTGATCAGTTAGAAAAGATATAGCCTAGCAATTAACTTCAGAACAGTCTGAAGGTCTGAGCCGAGTTTGGTGGTTGTAGCTTTAAAGCTGTAAAAGGAGATACTGACTAAATTTTGACTCAGAAGAAGAAGAAGAAAACAGTTATTTTAAATTGTAATGATATTTCACAATATTGCTGTTTTGACTTTATTTTTGAACAAATAAATATAACCTTTTGAACAAGTGTATATGTACAGAAAAAGTCTGCGATCTCAATACAAACTCAATTATTTCTCATCATATTCCAAATTATCTCAGATAATCCATCCAGATGTGATTTATAGGCAAAATTGGATATGAGATACAGCGACATTAAAATAAGTGAAATATATTTGCATTTGATGAATCTTGAAACTCATTTCTCTGTGTTATACTGCATCTCTTTGTTTATCTCTGTGTGTGTTTACTCTCATCTGTACAGTCTGCACCTCATTTTGCAGGTTTAAGTAAAAAAATAGGAGGCCAATAAGTGTGGTGCTTCCATTAAGAGCAGGTCAAGGGTCAGCAAATTCCCATAATTACATGTCACAGGATGATAACATGACGGCAAGTGTGACAGAGGAACCAAGAGCAGTGGAGCTAATATAATTTTTTGGGCTTAAAGTTTGAGGATATAGTTTGGTCAGAGGAATTATTTTTTTCTCATTTATTTTCTCTTTTTTTTCTTTCTCTGTTCTCTGTGACCTGATGAGCAGTAAACAAGAGGAATCGTGGTTCCCTTGGTAAGACACTCTAATGAACTCTTAAATCATGCAATCTTCTATTCCTCTTGCTTTCTCTCTCGTTCGCTTCCCCTCTTCTCCTGTCTCCTTGCTCTGATGACATCAGAAGATCATCTGCTTTGAGATTTTGAATTATGAAGTGAACATTCGTCCTCTTGGCATTTCCCTTTCTGATTGCCCAGAAAATGAGGCACGGGCTATGTTCGGAATCATGGGCTATGGGAAGAATTTTGAACAGGGTTGGATGAAGAACAATGAAGAGAAGCAATAATAACCCCCGTCCACGGGCTTAAGTTTTAGGAGATACATTGTAATCCAACACAATTATTGCAGACGCAGACTAAAAAACAAACAGATGAAGCACAACAAAATTGGAGCACAAAAATACACATTTTACTAAAATATTTCTTGTTAGACATTAAATGTAGGTTTTATATTCTAAATGTAACACAAGTAATTGTACTTTTATGAGAGGAGTAACTGTAAAGGAACTTTTGTAATGGAGGATAAATGTAATATGATTACTATGTTCAGATGAGTGATTACATTCACTGTATATGTTTTCATAGACTTCAAATTGCACATTGTTTGGGGGACAACACTGGGCAGGATGTGAAGTCCTAAAAATTTAAATAATTAATAAAATGTTTAATTAAAATTTTTAACAATTAATGTTTGGATTTTTAATCTAATTGATTAATCAAATAAATATTTAACAGAATAATTAATTATGAAAATAATCATTAGTTGCAGCCCTAAGATTAATAAATAATATATTAAACCAAGTAATTGTCACAAAGCCCCCCCGAATTGATGATCCAAAAAAAGTAATATGACCTATTTGTTTTATTTTACAACCGAGAGTTACGATTAAATTGGTATAAATTAAACATTAAGCATTTTTTATTAAATTAACATACTAATACTAATGACATTTTATAATGTCTTTTTAACAGGTTGGGTTTTTTTATTTTTTATTATGTAACATACACTGTACGTATTCATGTATTTCATTCCGAACATAAAAATGCTGGGTTGTTTCAACCCAACTTTGGGTCAAATATGGACTAACCCAGCTGTTGGGTTAAATTTTTACATTCCCAACAAACAACCCAACATTTTTTAGAGTGACTATACTGTAGTTTACCTTTTTATGTATAGTGGATCTCTTAATTTTTCTCCCATTATTTTTCATTCAGTACATTACATATGCACGCATATTAGTAATACAAAATACATATTAAAATAAGTTATTGCCTGATCATTTAAAATAATTTTACTGGCCTTAAAATGGGAAATCCTAAAGCTTAACCCTCACAAACAGCATGGTATTTAGTTTCACACTAATTAATATGTGCACACATTGACCAAACACAGCTGAGAGTCCTGAGAAAAAAATAATTTCCTTGCTCTCTCTTTCCTGTCTGCTCTCATCCATGCTGTCTTCTTCTGTGTGTGTGTGTAATCTCTCTTGTACTATGTGTTTTGATGGATTTGTTAGAGGCTTAAGATAATGGATTCTCCTCAGAGACAAATTTAATATCTCCACATGTCGTAATCTCACTCACTACTCATGTAGACAGACACTGGATTAAGATTATTACATCTGATCTCACCGAATGACCCCTATCCTCGTGTGTGGACTCCGCGTGTCCCTGTAGCTGTGTTCTACATCGTTTGTCAACCATCTCGGTATGCTCAAGGCGGCTAATCTCTGCGCCTGATGAAAACCAACCCGTGGAAGACAACACGAGTCAACACCATGTCAAACACCATTCTGACTTGAGTGCATGAGGCTGTGTTAGCGGCTGACAGCAACATTACCTCAGAAGCACGACACACTGTCTTTTTTCCCCTTAGTGCAAATCCTCCTTTTCATTTGCGGCGTTCTTCAGGCTACTGTACTTCTGAGCTCACTCTGAAAAATAACGTGCAGCTATAATCAGCATTTCCCGAAGCACAATATGAGAATAGATAGACTCGCACAATTATTCTGTCAGCAGAGGTGAGGGATGTGAGCTAGAGTGGGATTCTTTATTTCTGCTGGATCATATTTAATGTATTTATGTTAATTGTTTGCCGTTCAGCATGATATTGCATTTCACACTGTCTGATTTAGACACGTACAGTTGTTTGTTGGTTCTGGAACAATGTTCCATCGATCACTGCCATTTCAACCCCTAAAACCAGAGAGCACTGACTGTTTGTAGTTTTGTTTCTCATATGTATGCATAATAGCTTATATTAATGACTAGATAGATGAATTTTGATGGCACTGATGTTGGCTTGACAAAGCCTAGTAGTTAAAAAAATTATTGAAAAGTTTGAGTTTGAAGCTTTTACTCAGAGAAGTCAGGAAATTAAATAATGCTAACATGTTTAAGCATATTGCTAGCATATTTTAACACATTACTAGCATGATTTAACATGTTGTTAGCGTGTTTTAGCATTTTGTTACCACAACATGTAGCTAGCATGATTTACCATGTCGATAACATGTTTCTAGCATGTTTTATTATGTTACTAATGTTAACATGTTGCTATGTGTTTCATCACATAATTTATCATGTTGCTAGCATGATTTAGTATGTTTTAGTGTGTTTCCTAGTGTGTTTTAATCAAGGCATTTTAGCACATTACTAACATGCTTCTAGCATTTACACGTTGCTAACTTGTTTTAGCATGTTGCTAGCATGTTTGAACATTTTTAGGTAGTAATGTGCCTATTTATTTATTTATTTATTTATGGATATATTTACTTATTTAAATTATGATTTATTTAAATAAATGTGACCAAAAGCCACATGGTTAAATAAATAAATAAGTCAGTAAGTCAGTTGGCCACTGTTGCATATTTTATTTATACATTTACATTACATTTGCCATTATCTAACACTCACTTAAAATTAATATTTAAAAACACTAATAGTTTAATAACACTGTAAATGCAGTTTTTCTAGAAATTTATATCTATTTTTATACTGTACATTATAATGCTGCGATTTATGCTGAAATTAATTTTGTAGCATTTAAAAGTGGTTTTTAATGTTTTATTTTTGATTTATACAAAATATTATTTTAATGTTGTCTATTTAATGAATTTCAACCGTAATCATTTTCAGCTTATCAGCCAGAATTTTAACATTGGTGCATCCCTGCCTTAAATCATAAAGTGCATTGATTAGTTGAAAAAATATTGTTGTTCCAAGAACAACACAGGATGTGCAAATCACGCTAAGCTCTTATATTCTATGAATCTGCGTACATCATAAGTGCAAAATTGGAAACTATTTAACACCATATGCATCCAAGTTTTGATTAGTGTAGATGGTACTAGCAATAAATTTAGAATGTGCCAGTCTATGCAAATCAGGTTTCATGTCAGGTAATAAGTTCCAAACCTAAGGTGCTGCCGTTAAACACATACTGGCCACATTTAGAGTGCACATACACAACTACCATTCTGAAATAGTGCTTCCTTTTTAGACTTTCAGAAATAGCATTCCTATATATCGTGTTCCTCTACTTATTGACTTTTCCTGTCCAATTCCATTCGCTCGCTCCTTTCTTCTGTATTTAATTTTCACTCATGGTTTTCTGCTATAGCTTTTTTTTGTGCTTTGTTTGTCATTTCTTTGAATGATGAGATACAGCGAAATGAATGCATAAATTACATATATTCCTACTGAGATTACAAAAGTTAGAGCATCTACAGACGACAACCGCGAGCGTTGCGTGTGCTTAAATAGCAAACTAAACTGCGCCGTTCATTCCGTCACATTCCCCGTTACACAGTAAATTCCGTTTTTATGAATAGATTCCGGGATTCCGTCCCCATTTTCTACATCGCCCTACTTTTGCTAAGAAGCACGTTCAACGCGGACGCACAGACGGTTGTCGTGGTAATGAACACCAGAGCAACCACTTGCGCGTCCGCACTGAACGCGCATCTCGCATATAAAAAGCATTTTAGGGGGCCCTTGGCTTTTGGGGGCCCAAGGCGGTCGCCTACCTTTGCCTAATGGTTAAGTCCGCCTCTGCATCTATCACTGTGGTGTTTGGAGAATGCGAGAATGCATTACACCTTTCCAGTCACTGATCAAAGATCAGATCAAAGCTTGTGTGTGCGTTTGCTTCTCTGTGCCAGTTTATCTATCATGGTAGGCTGGTTTTCATCAGAGGTGTATTCTCCTTGATTCTTAAAGGAATCATTCTCATAAAAGGAAAATTCTATCATTATTCACTCATTCTGTCTTTTATTTCATGCCATTTAAAAAACATAATACAACGAATTGTGTTTTGAAACATTAAAAAAGATGCAAAAGTACACTGTTAAAACTGATTTTTAGAAGTTGTAAATAAAGATTATTGGAGTACATGTTACAATAAAATACAATTTCAGTTTTTTTACTTCTAAAATTCACTTTTAATCCAATGTGTTATACTTGCCGTTTCTTCGTAATTGTTTGTGAAATATACTTGCGATTTCTGAATGAAAATTGTTTCTACACCATTTTTTTTTCAGTGTACCATAAAAGTATAACTATAATAGTCAAACTAATAATTATAGCTATTACTATATGACTCATGTGCTTATGAAGATATGCGAGTGAGAAACCGACCAAATGCTGTTTTTCTCCTCCATTTAGTTGTTAATGCAAGAATCAGTGTGACTGAATCACTGAGTCGGTTAGCTTAACTCACAAACTGATTCATGCATGAATTCAGACTGGTTTTGTGAACTGGATCAACTGATTCATTGAAAAGATCTGACTCATGAGAACGATTCATCCATGAATCAGTCATCTCTAGTTTTCTACATTTGTGTTGCTTAATATTTTTTTACAGGAATAAATTCCATTTTTATAATATATTACATGTTGTTGTTTATGGATAATTTGTTTTCTCCATTTAGATGTTAATGCAAGAATCAATGTAGCTGAATCAGTGAGTTAAACTTGATTCATTGAAAATATCTGCCTGTCAGACATCAGTAGTTCCCCAATGAATGTGCCAAGGAATATAATGCACGAGTCATATAGAATTTTATGAAATACTTGGCAGAAGTCGTATGTGTAACTTTTATGGTGTTTTTGCAAACGAAAGCTCCAGTTCCCATTCATTGTAATTGCACAGAATGACATGAGTATGAGTAAATGTCATTTTCATTTTTGGGTGAGCTATTCCTTTAGAGATGCAATCTAGTCATTTTCGCCACTCACCTATCTTTCCTCATCTCCCTCTCATCTGTCAACCATGGAGAGTCATTTGACTTTCTTCTGCATGTATTATTTTCCAGAGAACGAAATGATTCAGAGAAATGATAAAAAGAAGAAGAAAAAAAAAGAAGCACCTCATCACAAAACCGTATCTCCCCCATGATGCTCAGTCTATTAACCTGATTGATTGTGCAAATAATCAGCTGTCTCGCTCTGTCTTTTTTTTTTTTTACCGTTCTTTT